TCCCCAAATTTTAACTTTTTCAGAAACTAATCACAGCCAAGGCCTCCAACTGCACATTCCGACAACTCATTAATCAACCTAAGACAAAACAAGGCTAGACCGTACTCTTACTATATACTCCGTATGCGTCAAAAATTGTTTTGCAAAGACCCATTAGAGAGGTCAAGCGTTTAATTAATTAATTAACTAACTAAATGATTATTGGCCCCGCGATCCACCGATATTCATACTATATTAACTAATCAGCGTTTGACCCTGCATCCGTACGCGTCGTTGTTGCACGATCGAGCTTATTATTAGCTTAGCTAGCTACCGTCATCTTGTGCGTCTCGGCTGCTTACGTCAACCAAAATCGTTATGAATTTCTAATTCTTAAGAAAGAAAAAACACATTAATAGAATTGCAACGCACGTCGTCCCGGATGGTTATACATGGATTAAGATCATTTCTAGTTCTTATGTTTTTTTTCCCAGTTCGCACTCGAATTTCATGGCAAGTGATATGTCTTTTATGTTTTCCACCATAATCTCCCAATTGTCCATGTGTCTGGGCTGTGTACATCCATTGTGGATGTAGATGCCGGATTTTAATCCATTTTCTAAAAGAAAAATTGTCCATGTGTCTATACCTAGCATAAACAATCTATGTTTTTTTTAGGAAAAAATACTGTAGAAGAAGCTCCTACAGTGATTAAATACATTAAAAATAAAACAATCTGCATATGTACATATGGGGGGAAAAATCAAAAGTTGTCTAGACATTCTGAAATCTTCTGCTCTATGAATAACCAAGGAAAATTCCATTCTAAATTTATCTTTGCAAACTTGAATTGAAGAGTTGATGTTTCTGAAAATCTTGTTATATCTGAAGATTCAAATGCTCCAAGCCATTAAGATTATTATCTCTATATATATAGAAAGGCACTTGTAGAGTGAAGGTCTTCAATGACTTGGACTGAGAGGTCGATTCTTCTTGTTGGGCAAATAAGGTTCTAGCATTCTTGTGTAAAGGATAAGTGAAAAAGAGATGTCCTTGAAGATTACTTTACACAAAATTATAATATGGCCTTTTAAACTTTTTTCCTTCTGAATATATTTCTTGTGTTTAGCCTGTCATTCATCAGTAACCAAAAGAAAACCTTATGTTTTGCTTGAACACTACTTTTCCACATGCAACTGCTGAAATAAATGAGATCGAGACATTGATTCTTCCAGTGAAAAAAAACCGTATGCTTTAACTAATGTATATTCATGTGAAAAATATGAGTGGACGTCCGATCATCTTTTTCATGAGTTAAATTAATTAATTAACTTCACTTATTTGCATTTTGCAATCGTCTAAACTATAGTACGGTTAGTCTTAATAAAGGAATAGATTGAGAGATGCCTCCCAATACTCAGATTTCACATATACTGTTACATATGCCTGCTAGAATTAATCAATATAACGACTCTCTGCTGGAATAATATTACTCTGTGTTGACAGACCTTATATATGTAATTTCTTAAAAAAATAAAATGGGTGTGGTCACTTCTATAGTTATTTAATATAATCTGTATTTTGTTTTTTCTTAAAAAACATCTCGCTGATTCTGTGTAGATAGTTTAACACAAATTAATATAAAGAATACAAATTACCCGGGAGATAGCATAATTAAGAGCTAGCAATATTGCGTGGATGGTGTAAGGTCAGTTATCTCATATTTCATGCATGTCCTAATCTGCACAGGGACAAGCTGCCAAGGTTGTTGGCCGTGCATGATCCCGGATCGGTAGGTAACCGCGTTTCATGATAGATCAGTAATTTTGTATATATAGCCATTATTATAGAAGTACTCTAGGAACACACCAAACATTACACATTTTCTTTCATTATTATTCAAGGATATTTAATTTATGACTGTTCATTGTTTTCATTTCATTAATTATTTAAGGATGCATGTACAATTTCTGAGGATACATACATAATGAGTATAATTAAATCACCCAACTTTATCTCCATGTATGTGAATGGACCACAAACTTTAAGAATGTAGGTTGTATATAAGTATAGGTAACATGCCTCAACCAAAACTACTAGTGTACCTACTGTTGTCTTGATTTCCATGGGAGAATTTAGATGTTCTACATAGCAACCATGAAATTGGAAGTTCCATTTTGGAAGTTCTAGTGCATACAAAGCTTTTCTTTTCACATAATGTTAGCAAAGAAGCTCTTTTCTTTCAAGATCCACCCCCTCAGTCCCTCACCTTGTGAGGATCATTGCTGTGTCAAATGTTATGAGCATGTTGCGTACTTAGCCAGTATAGTCGTGACAACTGTAGATTAATTCCTGATAGAAATGACAATTTTTCTCTATAATCCTACTTCTGCAAAAAAATTTAAAAAAAACACACAACACTTAAAAAGTTATATTCTTCCGTACAATCCTCACAAAATTAACAACCCCAAAATATATATAAAAAGAGAACATCTACTGGCAGTCAACCCAAATAGTTTGAGACTTCTTAAAAGAAGGGCGACTATACCTCTCTTTTCTATTTTACTAGTAATATGCCTCTGCACTATGACAGCCTATACCACTGGGAATGGTCTGGCAGTGGATCTATGCTAAAGCACATGATTTTTTTTCGTAACCGCTACGCACGAGGGAAATGGGACGCTGCATAAAAACCTCATGTAGATGCACTTTTATAAAGGCATTCGGCAAATTGCCTCTAAAATAAAGAGTTATATATAGTGTAAAGACACTTTAAAAATTATCTCGAAAACTTTACTCGCAAGACACTTTAGGAATATTTTCAACACACTATATTAAATTTTATCTTGTGGAGGTATTTTCTCGGCACTATAAAATGTGCCTGATATGTAAAGGAATTTTAAACCTTGTAGAGACACTTTTTATAATAATAATGTATATTAATGGACTAGATATAGGCAACACGAGGCACAAACTTAAAAGTAATGACATGAGGTTAAGTTGGTTAGTATGTTAAAGATAAAAACGATTTTTCCTAACAAAACATGAGTTCAAGGATTGGCAATAGCAAAGGAAATATTTTATTCTCTTTTTTCACATTGGTTTGATGCCACATGATATATAGACATTTTATAAAACGTCTCTTCGGTTATAGACAATTCACCATAAGACACCTACATTTTTTAAAAAATGCCTCTACAATATTGTAGAAAAATTTGGAAAGTGTCTCTATAATATTAGAAAATTGTCTCTTTAAGGTATTGCCACACAACATAGAGACATTTTATAAAATGCCTCTAAGACAATTCACCATAAGACACTTATCATACATTTTTAAAAATGCCTCTACAATATTGTAGAAAAAATGGAAAGTGTTTCTATAATATTAGAAAAATGTCTCTCTAAAGTATTTTTCTTGTAGTGAGTGTGCTACATGCAAGGGGAGGGAGAACGATGACTCTGCTTTTAAGTAGTAGAGACATTGCACACTAATAAGCATATGCAAATACATACATCAAGGAGAAGGAAAAAAACGTGTGCATAAAGACATGTGTAGTTAATTTTTTGCAAAAGGATATGGATATGAACCTCAATGGTTTTCCATTTTGGAAGTGCTATGTCGACAAAATTCTTTTTTTCTAAAATAATATTTGTGAAATATGCCACCGCTTTCTTTTGAAAACCATCTCCTTGAGGATTGAGTAAAAAAATGAGATCCAACATTTATCTTTAACCAAACCGCTTGGTCTTGTTTTCTTATGGTTTTGTTTTTCGAGAGGAGGGAGGGTGCGCCCTGTGCGTGACGTGGGGCCTGGGAAGAGGGCGGAAGGATGGCTACGTTTTTAAGTTGTAGAGATAACCAAAAGCAAGAGTTATTTTCTCATTGATCTGTCTGCCAGTGGAATGCACTAACTAGTTCACCTTCCACGTGTATTGTTGCCTAGCAACAATAGATGGATACCATGTGAACTCGCCTTCTCTATGAAAGATATAACAAGGGCAAGGGTCTCCCAATAAAGGATATTGGTAGCAACAAAACTCAATCACTCATATTTCCCCCATTTCAGCTTGTGAGAAGCACACTTTTTAGTTCATTGATGTCCATGTGTGTTGTCACAAGTATCGCGTAAACTCACATTGTATAGAAAAGATAATAAGGGAAATCCAAAACAAAAGTACACCTCTTGCAATCAAAAGTCACTCCCTTTTTTTTCTCATCTCACTTACACAAAACATAATTCTCAGTTTGCCATCCACGAGTACTATCAGCTGGCAAAGATGAATATAACGCCGAAACTTAACTCCAGAAAAAGAGACGACAAAGGTAATTTCCTGAAACAAAACGCCAATCGTTACCACTCGAAAGCCAAAATCTCTTGCCGATGCATGCTCACACGATACATACTTTTCATTTCACCGTCCAAGTACACCACAACCCGATGACAACAAAAGACACCTCCATGGATAGAAATGAACGCACGCAACTATCGATCTACTTCCGGTTTATGTCTTTGTTGCAAACCACATCACCACGAGTTGACAACAAGCCCCCGCACCCACAGGAGAAAGATGGAAACTGCCATGCTCCTCCCTCCTCAAATATCCTTTTTAGAAAATAATAAAAACCCATTTCTTGAAGAAAAAAAAACGAGGATGAGTTTATTTAAAGAAACCTATAAAAACGCAGACGTACACACACCATATCCCTATAAGCATCTCCGAAAGACTGGGCCAGCATATATTGAGATTCACGAAGATGCCATGAACGTCTCATTGTGAATGTGTCATCGAGGAGAAGAAATCTTATAACAACCCACCCACAACTCACACAACACACACAAAGATTAGGAAAAGAAAAGGAGGAGAAATCTTAAAAAGAAAAAAAAAGAGGAGAAATCTTAGAAGAAAAATCGCCCCATTTGGTTTGTCCCATTCCCATCACCACACCTCTCATCTTCCCCATGTGCGCCAAACGTCCCCACCACCCCCTCCCCCTCCCCCTCCCCTTTAAATAACCGCTCACTTCCTCCTCCCCCTTCTTCTTCCCCACCATCACCACCACCGCCGCTTCCTCCTCCGCCTCCGCCTCCACTCCACAACTCCGCCGCCGCCGCAATGCTGGAGGCCGTGATCCCGGCGGTGTGGAGCGCCGTCCACGGGTGGTTCACCCCCGCGGTGCTCTTCCTCGTCCTCAACATCGTCATCGGCACCATCGCGGTTACTTCCAAGGTCACCGCCTCCTCCTCGACGGCGGGCGGCGGCGGCGAGGGGGTTGGGTATGGAGCGTGGGCGGGTGGTGGTGGTGGTGGTGGAGGGGAGCAGAGGAGGTTCTCCCGCGTGCCGTCCATGGCGCTCGACCGGCTCCGGTCGTTTAATCTCTCCGGCCGGTTCTCCGCAGCCGCCTCTGCCCCTGCTGCTCCCGAGGCGGCCGCGGTGGTGGGCGGGGTGCTGGATCTGGGCGCCCGCGATGAGGCGACGACGGCGGCGGTGGTGAAGGATGTGGGGGGCGGGAGAGAGCGCGAGGAGGAGGTGGAGGATGAGCAGGAGCGCGCGCAGGCGGCGCATGTGGTGGAGAGGAGCAAGTCGGAGGCGACGGCGGCGGCGGCGGACCTCCCGCGGCTGCCGGCGCGGCTGCGCAAGTCGGCCAGCGACCAGTCGGCGTTCGCGCACTTCGAGGCCGAGAAGAAGGCGGCGGCGGCGGAGGTGGAACGCGAGGCGGTGGAGGCGCGGCGCCCCGCGACGACGAGGGAGCCGCCGCGCGTGTGGCTCCGCGTGGCCGACGAGGACCCGGAGCCGGAGGAGTTCGACGACGAGGCGGATGATGATGAGCCGGAGATGGACGACGACGACGCCGACGTCGGCGCCGGCGAGGTGGACGCGCGCGCCGACGACTTCATCAACAACTTCCGCCACCAGCTCAAGCTGCAGCGCATCGACTCCTACCTCCGCCACCGCGACATGCTCCGCCGCGGCCACGCCGCCGCCGCCGCCGCCGCGGTGGGCAGCGACTTGTGAGACGCGTGTGATTTCCAGCAATCCGAGGGGGCTAGCCGCAAAACTGCTGATAAAAAAAAGAAGAAGAGAAATACAGGGAGAGGAGGAAGAACTCGAGAGAGAAAAAAATGGTAGTTTCTTTCTTTCTCCCCATCTCTTCTGTTTTGGTTTATTTTCTTTTTTTTTCTCCTTTCAAAATGCTTAGTAGTAGTATAATATTATCGTAGCATCCGACTTTTTGGATAGAATCTTGTGTAATGCAGCACCATATCATGTGAAAATTTCATCCTCATAAGAGATTTGGATAAGGATTAATCTGGCAATTATGTTTCTGTAATTAAATTTCTTGCAAATGGCACAGCTAACTATACCCTCATTATTTTCATATTTGCAAATCTCAATGCATAACTGATAGTATTAGATTCTTCTTATTTTCCGATGTCTGAAACCAATCGAATATAAGGTGATCATGCAGGTAATTAACCGCAATGCTCAACTGCCTGTGTTAAAACAATCAAGAATTCTACGAGAATTTTAGTACAAAATAAAGAAAAAGTAGTTCAGTTTGCAGTGCCATGCCTGACAAGGAGAGCCATAGATTGCGCAAGCAAGCACAGGTTGGCTGATCACAAGTCATTAGCAGGCGTTTGTCCGTAACAAATAGATTAAGACAGATACGACACAGTGCCTAGTCAGCCAGCACAAGGACTTGACAAATTAATATCAGCCCCTCTTGTGTGTACTGCTCCTAATCCCATGATCTCTCTAGAAAGTACGGACAAGGGCAACTCACTGACCAGTGACCACCACAGTATCGCTGCTTCTGGTACTTTGCATTGCCACTAATTTTCTACTCCCTCCGTTTCAAAATCATTATAGCATTTCCCACATTCATATATCACACACAGATATATATATATATATATATATATATATATATATATATATATATATATATATATATATATATATATATATATATATATGTGTGTGTGTGTGTCTGTATGCGCGTGTCTAGATTCATTAACATCAATATAAATGTGGAAAATATCTAGATTCATTAACATCAATATAAATGTGGGAAATGCTAAAATAACTTACATTATAAATAAAACGGAGAAAGTACTCATCAGTGAATTGTTTAGCCTGAACTGGTATTGCTATCGTTTATAGTCTTCAACTTATAAGCATAAACGGACATTTAAATTTTAATACTTAATTTTAAAGTAATTTTAGGATTTTTTATCATGTTTATTTTTAATATTTACTTTTAAATAGCTTGAGCATGTATATAAAATTTTTATATGTGAATTCTTTTAACTTGTCAATAAGTTGTATTGCTTATAATTAATATTAAGCCATTTCCAGTGTAGGTCTCGTAAGAGTTCAATCTCAATAAATAAGATAATAGTATATAGGTTAAACTGATAATTAACATATCAAAAAGTTTACGAAAAGAAAGAAAGAAAGTAAGAAAGAATATATTTTATCTATACCTTACAAATAGAATGAAACCCATTATAACTAAATCATTTCATCTTAATCTCGAAAACGGAAAAGAAACCCTGTTATCACCAAATAGTTTCACAATACTATTCAATAATTAAATACTTTGGGTAGCATCTGAAATTACGAAATGAAACCGTGCATTGGAGACATTTGTTTCATTCATCAACCAAACCTTTTAGATTACGTGACACTCTTATAAATCACAAAATAAAACTCTCCACTGAAAATGGCATAATGCCAAACGATGAGGTTGCAACTGTATCTGTAATTATCGTTGGTTGTTAAAATATTGTCTTTAATCTATACAATAGTACTAAAAAATATTTATTGATAAAGATTTCGTTGACACTAGTTACTTCGTGAAAAAAATACAACCCTAAATATAAATCTGGATAAATATTTGTTAAAATTCACAGCTATAATTTAAATTATTTTAAGATGGAAGGTGAATGTGAGTACAAACAGCCGCTCGGGGTCGTCGGGCGGTGGATCCGGGTGGACCCACTTACACTGACACGGACCTGGAGGGCGTGTGTGCATGTTTGGTCCTTTGTTTCCTTCCTATTTCTCTCTTATTTAGTTTTTGTTTCCCTTTAATCGCCGTTGCCTCTTGCCGGGTTCACATGGACATCGTCACTTAATTAATCAGATGGGCGATTTGGTTAGTGGTGACACCTGCTTAATCAATCGTGAGCTCTCTCAAGTCGGCGCTTGATGCGATTTCGGGGCAACTAACGCACAGCGTTTGATGCTGCAATGGATTAAAAGATTAGTGTTAGTTAACCTTTGGGGTGTTTTTTTTTTTTACTTTGTTACTTTGGTTACTGGATATGGTAGAGTAAGGGTTCGGGCACGACGAAGGAGACGCGAACGAACAATGTATGGAATTTCACGAAAATTTCACAGGACACATAGATAGATTCTAGCTCTGCTTCTAGCATCAGTCTCAAATATGTTCTAAAATATAAGTATTTTTCAATGTAATTGAATGGAGAGAAAGATGAAATATATAGATAGAAATGCTTATTTCTACTATCTTAAAAGTGGGGTCATTCCTCTTTCAATCCTCCCATCGTGCAGCTCACGAAAAATAACCACCATCTCTTTTTAATTATATAAGTTTGGCCTATTAATACACGGACTCGACCCGTTACAACGTACGCACATATCTACTAATATTTTAAAAATGGAACATACTCTTTCTGTCCTAAAAAAATCAATCTAGAAGGGGATGTGAGGAGACGTAATCCCTTCTAGATTGATGTATGTGGATATAGGAGGATGTCCATATACATTGTATTAGGAGGGTTTTTTTGGACGGAGGGAGTAGGGAGTACAGTAATAAAAAACTTTTCATTACATTAACTATAGTCAGGTGTGGAGAGCTAATCCATGCTCAAGAACAATTAATCCGGGTTGCACAGTAGCCAAACTGCTGGCTGGCTGGCTGCTTGGATATACATAAGGTGGTTCCAGCACTGTTGTCAGTTTGATGTTGGCTGGTTTGTGATTCTCCCCCGGCGACGTGTGGTGCACATGCGACGTAGGACATCGGATTCTGTGGGCAGAAGGGAAAATTAAAATTAACTGTGTGATGAGAGGTGTCTCTTTTGAATAGGACATGAGGCTTTGTGGGAAAGTAGGTGAGTGCCTCCTACTAATTATTGGGCTTGATGGATCTCTGTCTAGCTAGTGCCACTTTTGTTACAGTATCTTCCGAGGATAACTGCAAGTCGTATCCTCCAATCGTTGTGGAGTGACCAGGGATGATATTTTTCTCATCTCTCAATTTAACATCAGAGGACGGTTACCTGCCTGTAAAAGTAAACCACAAGCAAGGTTTGCTTTAGTGCAGTGATGGAACCAAAACAATGGTTTTAAAACCAGGCGAAAAGTTAACTAGGATTAGAGTGTTTAGTACTTATGGTACAAATGTGAAATACCCTTAGCATGCTAGACTGACATGTCGGTCCTATCTATTAAAAGAAAGGTAAATTTTGCTACAGCACATTATGACTTTGCGGTTTTATCCGTATGACACCGCGAGCAAACTCACTTTTGGAGAAAGCACTCCATATTCGTGGTTATTTGCTAGTGAACACTACGCGGCTTAAAATAATGTATCCGTGCTGACGAGGTGCTAGGGGATCCGATATTTTACGCGAAGTGACCGAAATGCACATATCGGGCCCCCTAGTGCCTAGTCAGCACAGATACATTATTTTAAGCCGTGCGGTGTCCACTGGCAAATAACCACGATTATGGAGTGTTTTCCCAAAAAGTGAGTTTACGCGGTGTCCTACGACTAAAATCACAAAGTCGTGATATTCTGTAGCAAAATTTGCCTAAAGGAAACTAGTTAATTTGAGTTTGAAATATTTAACATGTAGACTCCACTTGTAAGAAAAAATAATTTTGAGCCCTCTATGGCACTTACATGTAGCCATGTAGGCACCAAACCACAGTCATGTACCTGGGCCGGGCTAAAATGAAGAAGTTCCACTATGGTAGATGGGGAATTTTTTTTATTTTTAATTTTTTTTATTAAAAGTTTTACAAAAATAATTTTCCATTTTGAAAATTGACGGAAGTAGTCGCCTACCGCCCTCTGGGAAGGCGATTTTTAAAAATCGCCCTCCCAGAGGGCGGCGAAAATGACGTGGCAGACGGCCGTTCGCTCTCGGGCGACGGCCGTCAACGAAATTTGCAGGCGGCCCCCTTGCCGCCCTCCGCGAGGGCGATTTTGTACTGTGCGGGGGGCCGCCTGCAAATGGGCGGCGAGGGGGGGCATGGAATTTTGCAGGCGGCCCCCTTGCCGCCCTCCGCGAGGGCGATTTTCTACTGTGCGGGGGGCCGCCTGCAAATGGGCGGCGAGGGGGCATGGAATTTTGCAGGCGGCCCCCTTGCCGCCCTCCGCAAGGGCGATTTTGTACTGTGCTCTATATTTTTGTATAAATATCAATAGTTATCAAATCTTTTTATATTGAAAACTATACAAGATTAAAATCTCCAAGACTGGTAAAATACAATTTTATTATTTTTTAGGGCATATTTGGATTGTTACCGTACAAATATTTTGTTACCGTACAAATATTTTATTAATTTTTAGGGCATATTTGGATTGTTAGTGCCAAATTTTTCTTCACGACCAAATATTTGGTAAGGTAAAATTGCATTTGATCATATTTGGTTTGCTGCCAAAATGTAAAATTGTAGTGAAGAATGTTCTACATAATCTCAAATCTAGATTACGTATTACCAATGAATAGGCTTCCATTTTCGTGTGTTGTGTGCTAGTGGGAAAGAAGATATGAAGAGGTTGCCTTCAGATTGTCAATTATATAGCGTCGTTTTCACTGCAATATATGTGAACTCAATGAGATACATTATTCATTAGATGTGACAAGACGATCACGCGTGGGCGTGATTCACTTTATGTAAACAGGCAGCGCCGAAAGTTGATAGTGATAACTCGAGCTGCCGCTTTTCATGTGTGCTGTTGTGGACTGTGCGCGCTACTGGATCTGACACTACCGTGCAGCGCCGAAAGTGTGTTGTCGTGAGCATAAGTTGTTCTAGCACCATATGAATGAAAAGAACTATGTAGACGAGACAAACACAAGTAGTACTGCAGTAGTAATAGCAAAAGTAGTACTGCTTTACAAGTTTGTAAGCCAAAAGAAACGGTCACATAAGGACTGAAGAGGTAGAACACTACTGACGAGGCCTCTTACCCCTGTCCCTCCTACCCTGCGCCCTAATGTGCCCGTGGGAGTACGTGAGTCGGTCCGGGGGTACGGCACGGCCAACCCGTCCTGCCTGTACAGGTGTGACCTCTGGCTGCTCCTGAG